TTAAATGCACAGCATTAGACGCCGGACACCAAACCAATGCTTAAGTACAGAATTCCCATTTAAGGGATAAAGAAGTGAGGTTAAAATTAATTCAAAAAGTCTAGTCAGCTTAGACTAAGCATGATGTAGGCCAAAATTTTGATGTCCATGGCTGATTCAAGATTGTAGAATTTTCTTTGAATTAAACTTTTCAAATATAGAGTGTGCATAACTGTATTCCCTTGCTGCAGACCCATTTCTATGTAAATTCCTGTGAATATGGTAAGACTAGATTCAAACTCAACAAAACTTCATTCAAGAAAAATATTCAAGACTGCTGTTCCTTCCTCGTCTCTTTTAAAAATGGATATTTTCCAACAATCTATCGGGTCTCAATGCCATTCTACTCAGGTGCGTTATATAATCACGATACTAGAATGTCTAGGCATAGATTATTTATTTAAGCCAACAGATAACTCTAAAAAGTATTAGCAGATAACCGTGTTGAAACCACCAATCATTTTGAAAGATAAAAATTGACTACCAAATATTTAGGTTCAACTCAATACATAATTGTACACACATAACTATACACCACTATTAACCAGTAACCAGCTACAAATCCGGATACTAATTTTCTGTTGGAGGTCTCAGACATCATATGATCGTAATTAAAAAATCTTTCAACTATTGAAGCTTAAAGCAGTAACGTCTACATCTCTATTTAATAAATCACTAATTTTCACTAAAAAGACTACATGTCACTAAATAAGCAGCAGAAAGTGCAACATTAGCAAAGATAAAATAAAAATATGAAATTCTAAGCTAAGTTCAAAATATATTAAAAAAAAAACTAAAAATTAGCAACTAAGCATTAATAACCTGCAAAAACAATTATCAAACAAAGAACAATTATACCTTTGAGGAAAACAGAGCAAGCATTGATTTGTTATTTCAAGCAACCAGCAATAAATTTCCCATCATACAAAATCTAATATACTATTGCCATTTTTCAATACCTTCAAATGTTGCTAGGGTACATGAAGACGCGAACGCGGGCGCCCATGGACTTCGGTGGGAGGTTGGACTTGAACTTAGCCCTGACGACGCCACTGTTACCATGGGGACGAATTACCTTGCCCCAAATGCACCTGTAATGGCTTCCATTCTGCTTCACCTTAGCCTTGTAGATGTAAGCCATACGCTTACCCTGGTACCACGCCACCTCTTCCTTGCTGTTCACTCCCTCGATCTGGATTAAGGACGTGTTTGGATACTGATTAGATTTCGACCTCTTGTATCCCAGGATTGTTCCTCTCACGTAAAGTCTACAGATAAACATACAGTAAAATTAATACATATATATGTAGATTTATGAATTGATTTGAATAATGTATAAACCTGACGCGTTCTCCTTGGCGACCCTTCACCATTTTTGCGTTGTTTCTTCCCTGTGCTAATTCTGATTGAGGCGGAGAGACGTTAAAACCCTAATTGGGGTGAATAAATAGATCAGTTATCTCTATTGGGCCTTATTGGACTCTGTATATAAAAAAGGGCTGAATTAAGAAGGTCCATCATTTCAATTGATACATGTGGAAATTATGCCACACATCTACATGTGGAATTTTTTTGGGAAAATTTAACTAGACCAGGTGTTTAATTTTAACTTTTTAA